TTAGACCTTAAAGCAGATAAAACTTATGTTAACGATGAGTTAGAGAAGAAAGCAAATAAGACTCATACACATACAAGTTTTACAACTGTTGCTATAGAAAGTATTGAAGGAACGGTTGAAGGAACTGGTGGGGATGCATTATATTGTAAACCTCCTAACTTTCCACAAGGTTTAACATCGGATGACGACATAACGACGATGAGAAACATTAGATGTAAAGATGTTTATGTCATGAAGGATGAATATAATATTAAATTCACTGCTCAAGATTTATATGACAAGAAAGCAGACAAAAAAGAGCTTCAAACATTAAAGACAGAAATACTTCAAACATTATATCCTATAGGCTCTATTTATACGTCAATGAACTCTACCAGACCAGAAACAGTTCTGGGTTTTGGAACTTGGACTCAAATAGTCGACAGGTTTTTGTATTGTGCAAACTCTTCAAAGGAAACAGGTGGAAGTAAAACGATTTCAGGTGAAAATTTACCTGCACACAGTCACTACATAGATTTAAGTACATCTCAAGCAGGTTGGCATAAGCATAGATATTGGGATTGGTCAGCAATGATAAAAGGTAAAGGATATGATGTTAAAGACGACGTTAAGTTTGCTATAAATTGTTACTGGAGTAACACTGAGGGAGGAGGAAACCATACACATCACGTTTCAGGATATACGCAAACAACGGGACAAAGTAAAGAATACATGCCACCTTACATGACAGTTTACGCATGGTATAGAAATGCTTAGTCGTCATTTTCAACTTCTTTAGCATATTCGTCAGGAGTTGTCTTATATTTGTTAGGAACTGTCTTTGAAAGTATACCACCTTGAACTTTGACAAGTTTGAAACGAGGTCTGACAATAGTAGTTTTATCTTCTGCTTGCAGTCTGTACATTTTGCCATGTTTGCCTAAAACTTCATAATATTCTCTTGTATACTTTCTTCTATTTTTACGAACACGAATGTGAGTACCTGTCGGGTTCCCATTGTTGTCATAGTCAATAGTATTTTCATATGGGTCGCGTTTAGGTATTTCTATTTTTACTTTGTCACCTTTCTGAAGTTTGAAGCCCGGCATTCTTTCTTGTTTGTCTCTTTTGACTAAATTATTAAATATATAGTCTTTCTCTAAGTCAGGGTTGTTTTTCATTTCTTCGGGGGAGTGGTTTCCCAAACCTTTTTGTTTACGGCTATTGTAAATATTTAAAACTTGTCTCATCTTTGCCATGGAGAAGTGTCTATATTTGTCGTCATATGACATTTCATTTGCTTCACCACCTTGTGGTTGGTTTAAGTCTCTTAACATTTTTATACAACCGTCAATGACACCAAGAGCAGAATGGTTTTGGTCGACAATGAAATATTGGTTTACATTTTTTGAACGCAGATAGTTTTTTACATCATCTGATTTGAAAGAACTTTCACAGTCAGATGTCAGTTTTGTTGGATGGTATTTGTCAACGAATATTGTCAAAGCAGTTTTCACATCTAAAATATTTTTGGACCATAATGGTATGGCTTCACAGTATCTTGTGTTTTGACCGACAAATATTAGCCAGTATGGTGGTCCATCTGTTCTAACTCTCGGAATGTTTTCCAAGATATCCATAAACCAAGCATTTGGTGTTGAACTAAAGATTTTTACCATGAGTGCTTTCTTTGTCGCTTTAGAAACATAGGGGTCCTTGTTTGGATTCGTCATTTTTATCCTATAAGAAATGGGTTTATTTGGCGCATTAGCAGGAGTTGCATCCAGATTTTTGCCCGCAGTGGGAACAATAGCCAGAGGTGTATTTGGAGTTGGAAGGAAGATTTTGAGTACATTAGGTATACTTAAAGAGAAAGCACAACCTATTATACAAACTGTACAGAAAGGTTGGGATGTAGCACGAGATGCAACAAATCTTATTCCAAATCCTGAAACAAGAGGAAAAGTTCAAGGATGGATGGACAATGTAGGAAGACAAGCAGGAAACTATTATAACAAAGCAAATGACTACTATAACCAAGCAGGACACTATATGGACCAAGGTGAAAGATTCTTTAACAGAGGATATAACCATGCACAACAATGGGTAAACAATAACCAACCTCAACCGCCTCAAACGTGGGGAATGTAAAGTTTTTTACTGAGATGAAATGAACAATACAGCATTGAGACAAATGGGTTCAAGATGGATTTGTCGGCTTCCAGCAGTTACACCACGTGTTTGTCAAGTTCTTCCTATACCTCAGGAAGTTTTAGACCGACTTAAAAAACCTAAACAACCAGTTGAAAACAAACCAAACTAAAATTTTTTACTGAGATGAAATGACCGAAGAAGTTGAAACGGTAGATTTGACACCACAAACAAAAAGTTCAGAACCATTGTCAAAAACTGTCAAAGAACTTACAGATGAAGAGAAAAATTCAATAATAGAAAGTGCCAGGTCTGGAAATACAAACCCTAACTATAAAGTCACTTTTCATAGAAATGGAACGGCTAGTATCTCAAAAAAGAAACAGACTCTCACAAATAAAATATTGAAGTCTGAAGGAGCTTTCGAGACAACAGATGGAAAAGTTTACTTCACTGACCAACAGTTCATTATAGAACATCTCATTGACTTAGAGTCGAAATATTCTAAACTTTACAACAAACACAAAAAGTTGAAAGGAAAACAAAAACAAATGGCATATGATATTTATGAAGATGTTGACGACACAACTGTTCCTGCAAGTGAAGTAAAGTCAGAGGAACCGAAAAGTGACGAAAAACCGATAGAAGAAGAAAAACCAAAAACTGAAGATAAACCAAAACCATAGTTTAGTTTGGAAACTAAACCAAGTCAACCTTCATTAGCTGGTATGGGTTGGCGTCAAAGACTTATGGCAGCAGGCGGTTATGTAAAGTAAAGAAAAAAATATTTTTTTATTTTTATAAAAATGCCCCCATATAGAATGGATAGAAAGTCTGCTAGAATAAAAGCAGAGTTACAAAGATATGGTTGGAGAGTTTCGAAGAAGTTTAAATATAAGAAAGGAAGACCCATAAAAGTCTATGACAAATTGTTTGGTCTTCGCTACGAAATGGATTTGGAAACAGCACGTGCCAATTATCCAAACAGACTAGAGAGGTTAGAAGAAGAACGTCTTATGGACATGCCTTTCGATGTGTTAAACATTGCATGAAGTAAAAATTTATTTTTTAAAAAGTGACATTTTTTATTTTATTTGAAATGTACGCTGAGTTTGTTGGAGAAGACCGTTGGGAAACTTGTTTGTTAGATGAGAAATATGAAATGGCATACCATTTTTAAAACAATATATTTTTACATATATTAAATGCTTCAGGTTGAAAAACAAAGAACAAAAGTAGCAGATACAAAACCGTTAGACTATATCTTTACAAATGCTGGTAGGACTATTTCAGATGAAGAAATTTCATCCCGAGTATACAGGTTTGACTATCCAATTCGTTGGCTTCAAAGTCCTTCAGATGCAAAGGCAATAGGATTTAGAAGAGTTTTGTTTTCAATAGAACTAACGCATTTATGTTCGTAGTATATTTTCATGGGCAGTATAAAGGTTCTGATGGTCTAATAGACAAATTTGACGAAATGAGAATCTTTACAGTTCGTTCAGACGAAAGTCTTGAAAAACTCTAAATGACTTTCAAACTCAAATGAACAAATATTATTGGGAATTTCAAGAAAAATACGACTCTTTACTAAATGGAACATACTATCTGAAACTAGAATATGACAAGATGAACTCCACCGTTTCATTTCAAAAGATTGAAATTAACCCTCCAAGAGATACAGAGTTTTTATTTTGGAAAGTAGACAAACGTTCTTGGGCACAATTTCTTCGGTTACTAAACCAGAACGAACCATTACCACCAGATGGTCCATTTCAATTTATACTTCCACCAGCAGATTTGACAGTTTATAGAACGTGTTTGACCCTCAAAATGTTATGTGTCATGCAAGTTTCAGTTCAAGCAACAATAGTTTTCTATGTATTGGTAAGGACTTTTATGACTTTGCTTCTAAATTCTACGAACCACCTAGTAACAGTTTCTCTGACTTTCAAGTTTGGTTCACAACAAATGGTGTGCAACATATTATTCCATTGTACCTATGACTTTTATCTCGAATTGTCTTTCATATATAACTACGGAAAAGTGCTGAAAAAGTATTGAATGTGAAGATATTAGAAAATAACATTTTTTCTAACATCGTAGAAAAACTCATGAAAACAATTTATTTTTTGACACTTTCACAAAAAACATAAAAAAGTGAAGTTAAAATGAGATGTTTACTGAAACTGGTTGGATGTCGCCTTCACAGGTTATGTAGAACGGTTGTCCTGAGAAGCGAAGGAGAGAGACTGAATTGCCAATTTCATATGGGGTAGGGGTTCTCCTTGTTTGGTATTTTTATCCAAGGACGTTTGTTTAGGAACTTAACAAGAGCTTCTCTTTTGGCGTCCTTTATGTCGTCGAAAGGAGTGTTTTCTGGTATTTGAATTGGAATTCCGGTCGAAGTCTCGAGATTCAAGACAGCCCTTCCAGAAATAGTGGTGAACTTGACCTTGGGCTTCATGACCTTGCGCAAGTAGTCTTTAACAAGCTCGTTAATTTCAATTAGGTAAATTGCCTCGTCAAATCCTTCTGGCATTCCGAGTCCTTCCATCCGACAGGAAAATATTTTCCCGACAACTGGAAAAAATTTTCCGGACAAAGGGAAAAATTTTTCCTTCCGACAGGAAGAACTCTTCCAGTTGTCCGTCCGTAAACCATTCAAATTTTCGAAAATTGAGAACTTTTTGGTCGAACTTCAGAAAAATTTTTTCCATCCGACAGGAAAAAATTTTCCATCCGACAGGAAAAAATTTTCCGGACAAAGGGAAAAAAATTTCCTTCCGACAGGAAAAGTTCTTCCTTCCGACAGGAAAAGTTCTTCCTTCCGACAGGAAAAGTTCTTCCTTCCGACAGGACACAAACGAATGTCCCACGTCCCACCAACCGAGTCCATTCCCAAACCAGAGGAACCTAAAGAACCACAACAGTCTCCTCAGCAACCTCAGTTCCAGCAAGTACCTCCGATTTACTACCAATTTCCACCTCAAGGTTACTACCCACCACAAGGCTTCCCGAACTACCCTCCTCAGCCTATGCCTTACTTCCCCAACCCTTGGATGTTCCAGCAAGCTCCACCCCAGCAATTCCAATCTCAATCCAAATCGAAGAGAGACCAAGAGTTCGAAGAAGGTCTGAACCGCTTACGCAAAGAGTATGCCACAGCTCCAATTGAGAGAAAGTTGTTCCCGGACCAAAAATATAATTTATGTTAACATGTTAGATCTAACACGTTTTCTAACACGTTTTCTAACCTCGTGAATTTTCATGAATTTCCTTAAGATAGAAAAAATAAAGTTAGTTTTATTTTTTGTATTTTGTATTTTTTTGTATGTAAAGATATGATTTCAGGGATTTTTTTGACGAAGTGTCAATCTTCACTTCGTCAAAAAATAACAGTTATCTAATGAAAAAGTGTCATTTTTTTCATTTGACGAGAATGTCGGGTAGATGGTTAGATCTAACCTCATTTCTAACCTCATTTCTACCCTCTTGAATTTGTCATGACTTCTTCGTAAATGTTTTGTCATGACTTCTTCGTAAATGTTTTGTCATGACTTCTTCGTAAATGTTTTGTCATGACTTCTTCGTAAATGTTTTGTCATGACTTCTTCGTAAATGTTTTGTCATGACTTCTTCGTAAATGTTTTGTCAAGACTTCTTCGTAAATGTTTTGTCATGACTTCTTCGTAATGAGTGTAAAGGACCCAAAAATAATGTTTAGGGTAGATGGTTAGATCTAACCTCATTTCTAACACGTTTTCTAACCTCGTGAATTTTCATGAATTTCCTTAAGATAGAAAAAATAAAGTTAGTTTTATTTTTTGTATTTTGTATTTTTTTGTATGTAAAGATATGATTTCAGGGATTTTTTTGACGAAGTGTCAATCTTCACTTCGTCAAAAAATAACAGTTATCTAATGAAAAAGTGTCATTTTTTTCATTTGACGAGAATGTCGGGTAGATGGTTAGATCTAACACGTTTTCTAACACGTTTTCTAACCTCTTGAATTTTCATGACTTCTTCATCGTAATGAGCGTAAATGTTTTGTCATGATTTCATCGTAAATGTTTTGTCAAGACTTCTTCGTATATGTTTTGTCATGACTTCATCGTACATGTTTTGTCAAGACTTCTTCATCGTAATGAGCGTAAATGTTTTGTGAAGAATATAGCAACAGTCTGAATTCCGACGGTTGCTTTTTATACAAAATTCATGCAGGAAATTCTTGAGTTTTGGTTGAAAGAATACGGTGGAGCCAAAAGTGGCTCGACCTCAAAACAAGCATTTTATGAGCTTACTAAGGGTATTATGAATGAATTCAAAGGTATTTACATACATCCTGACCTCGTTCATTTTGTTGCTGAATTCAGCAAAAATAAAGTTTATGTTAGCATGTTAGATCTCACCTGTTTTCTCACCTGTTTTCTAACATGGTCTAAAACTCTCGAAAATCATGAAATTTACACCAAAAATAAAGTTTATGTTAGCATGTTAGATCTCACCTGTTTTCTAACACGTTTTCTAACATGGTCTAAAACTCTCGAAAATCATGAAATTTACACCAAAAATAAAGTTTATGTTAGAATGTTAGATCTAACACGTTTTCTAACACGTTTTCTAACCTCTTGAATTTTCATGACTTCTTCGTAAATGTTTTGTCAAGACTTCTTCGTAATGAGTGTAAAGGACCCAAAAATAAAGTTTATGTTAGAATGTTAGATCTCACCTGTTTTTTCACCTCTTTTTTCACCTCTTGAATTTTCATGAATTTTCCCGAAATAAAAAATAAAGTTAGTTTTATTTTTTTTATTTTTTTTATTTTGTATAAAAGATATGATTTCAACAATCGGCACAACAACAATTCAAACAACAGCACCAAACTCTTTAGTCATGAATCCAACATCTATGTTAGTAGAAATGAAAAGCTTCATTCCTTCTTCATATACTTTTGAAACAGAAATCCAGAAGATAAAGCAAGAACTTTTAACAAGTAATTTAGACTGTAGTGCGAAAGATGAAACAAATGAACAGTATCTTTATGAAATGCAGGACATTATTGACCATTTACCCAAATTGCCTGAAATCCAACAACAAAAACTCACTATTCCTGAATTCGACGAAATAGAAGTCAAAGCAACTGACTCAGTAGAAATAAAGAAGTTCATACGAAAGGTAAACTATGAGTTTCTAGGATTTCATTGCAACCATAAGGTTATGGACAAAGATTGCGACATGGTATATAAGAATGTTTCTGACATATATAAATCTGAAGAATTTAAGACCTACGACAACTTTGTTTCATTAGTTGCAAAATGTGTATGGCAGATAAGAGATAAAGATAGAAGAGGCAAAGTATGGAACAAACAAATAAGACCCGCTATGTTTGAGATGAAGAGAACAATTGACGCTTTAGTTGTTTTAGCTGGTTTTATTTCAATGTATAACGCAAAAATGAACCCGCAATGTTCAAAATGTAAGGCAGCAATTAGGAAATATAACTACTCCGTCAAAGAGATAGAAAGAATGAGAAACGACTATGCAGACTTAAAGAAAGAAGCAGAAAAGCCAGCAGAAGATAAAATGGACATGTTAGCATTTCTGAACAAAAACTATCCAACTGCTGACGATTTCCTTCTATCTGACGTCAAGAAGAAGTATAAAGAAACCTTCGGCATAGTTAAAACATTCGATGTACTAAAAGAAGAAATAGAAGCTACAAAACTGTTTAGAGTCATGAACCATCGCAACATATACCATGTAAAACGCTTGTAAATAGTTATGTTAGAAAACAGGTGAGAAAACGTGTTAGATCTAACATGCTAACATAAACTTTATTTTTTCTATCTTAAGGAAATTCACGAAAATTCATGAGTTTTGTGTGTTTTAGACCATGTTAGAAAAGAGGTGAGAAAACAGGTGAGATCTCACCTCTTCACCTAAAATATATTTTTGGTCATTTACAATGAAGTCTTGACAAAACATGGAATCTCTTCCCTCGGAAAACCGAGAGAAGCAATCATATGACAAAGTCTTGACAAAACATTTAAGTTCGATGAAGTCTTGAAAATTCATGAGTTTTGTGTGTTTTAGACCATGTTAGAAAAGAGGTTAGAAAACGTGTTAGATCTAACATGCTAACATAAAATATATTTTTGGTCATTTACAATGAAGTCTTGACAAAAACTATCCAACAGCAGAAGATTTCCTTCTATCTGACGTCAAGAAGAAATATAAAGAAACTTTCGGCATTGTTAAAACATTCGATGTACTAAAAGAAGAAATAGAAGCTACAAAACTGTTTAGGATTTCAAATATACATCGTACAATTCATGTAAAACGCTTGTGAAAAAAAGAGGTGAGAAAACAGGTGAGAAAACAGGTGAGATCTCACCTCTTCACCTAAAATATATTTTTGCTGAAAAATGACCAAAATTCATGAGTTTTGTGTGTTTTAGACCATGTTAGAAAACAGGTGAGAAAACAGGTGAGATCTCACCTCTTCACCTAAAATATATTTTTGCTGAAAAATGACCAAATTTCATGAGTTTTGTGTGTGTTTTAGACCATGTTAGAAAACAGGTGAGAAAACAGGTGAGATCTCACCTCTTCACCTAAAATATATTTTTGCTGAAAAATGACCAAATTTCATGAGTTTTGTGTGTTTTAGACCATGTTAGAAAACAGGTGAGAAAACAGGTGAGATCTCACCTCTTCACCTAAAATATATTTTTGCTGAAAATGACCAAATTCATGAGTTTTGTGTGTTTTAGACCATGTTAGAAAACAGGTGAGAAAACAGGTGAGATCTCACCTCTTCACCTAAAATATATTTTTGCTGAAAAATGACCAAATTTCATGAGTTTTGTGTGTTTTAGACCATGTTAGAAAACAGGTGAGAAAACAGGTGAGATCTCACCTCTTCACCTAAAATATATTTTTGCTGAAAAATGACCAAAATTCATGAGTTTTGTGTGTTTTAGACCATGTTAGAAAACAGGTGAGAAAACAGGTGAGATCTCACCTCTTCACCTAAAATATATTTTTGCTGAAAAATGACCAAATTTCATGAGTTTTGTGTGTTTTAGACCATGTTAGAAAACAGGTGAGAAAACAGGTGAGATCTCACCTCTTCACCTAAAATATATTTTTGCTGAAAAATGACCAAATTTCATGAGTTTGTGTGTTTTAGACCATGTTAGAAAACAGGTTAGAAAACGTGTTAGATCTAACATGCTAACATAAACTTTATTTTTGCTGAATTCCTTATGAAATTTCATGATTTTCCTTAAGATAGAAAAAATAAAGTTAGTTTTATTTTTATTTATTTTTTTATTTTGTATGTAAAGACATATATGTCAAACATTGAGTTTGAAACAGTTAAAAAGATAGACAATGACACCAAATTGGTTAGAATAGGTGATTTAAACGTAAGATACTCAAAGAAATACAACAAATATTCTTTGTCAGACATTATATTTCCATCTGGAAAGAAAACACACGACTGGGTTAGAAATGCTTCAACTCAGAAAATTTTGACAAGAAATCCTGAGCTTATGATATCGGTAAGATTCTATGGAACTACAGCATATCTCATCGACAAAAGTCTTATACCAATAGTTTTGTTATGGTTAGACCCAGTTGTTGGATATAACTTCATAACATATGGTTCATTCGATACGGAACGTTGCAGTGAAGGCTTACTTTACATCGTTCAGAAACCGAAGGACTTCAACACAAAAAGATATAAGATAGGAAGAACATATAATATAACTCAAAGATATGACTCTACAGTCAATAGAGTCAAGGTTGTGTTTGCTAATGATATGAGAGCTGCAGAAACAGAACTACTTGAAAAGTTTGAGAAAATGTATGGTGCTCCCATAAAAGGTAAAGAAACGTTTGAAGTAGATGAGATAGATAAAGCTATAAAATTATTTGACGAAGTTGCTGAAAAATACATGTAAAGCGTTTATTTTTGGTCTTTTGTGAAAGTCAGAAAATAACGCTAATTTTTTATAAAATATTTTTTTTTATTTTGTATGTAAAGACAGATATGTCAACAACAGAGAACACAACAACTGCTATCGTTCATGAAGCCATAAATGAAGAATATGAGTACATACAGTATAACAAACAACTCCGTCTCATTCGTTCGGTCAAAGACGATATGTACCAAATGCAAAGTATTTTGACAGCATGTTTTGCACCAGATACTAAGCTTCCTAAAGACTGGTTTAGGAACCAAAGCACACAAGAACTTTTGAGCGAAGCACAGCGAGACATACTTTTTTCTGAAAACAGTGAAGAACAGCGAGTAGGTAAAAAAACCCAGTCGCCAAAACTCTATGAAAATCGTGAAAAATTGCCAAACGGTTTGAGAGGATATTATGTACATAGACTTCTTGTAAATGCTGTTGCAATGTGGGCTTCGCCTCGTTATGCTTGGAATATTTACAGACTTCTTGACGAAATTCATAGACAAGAACGTGAAGAGATGGAAAACAAGCTTGAAGCAAAAGACAAAAGCATTCAGAAAAGAATACCACGTTCGGTACCAAAAGGTAAGGAAAAGAACTATAAGTATATGATTTATACTGAAGAGATGGAAAATGAAGAAGACAGAGATATGGTTATGTTGCATTTAGTCAGAAGAAACAACAAAAGCTTTTACGACCTTGCTAAGATTTACAAATCTGACAGAAATTGGTTCTATCGCGAAAACTTACCGATTTCAATGACACCGAATGAAGATGTGAAACAAATAGTTCAAGATACGTTACCTCAAACACACTATGATATGAAAGGTTGTACAATACTTACATTCAAAGAAGATTTGTCATTGTTAAAGGAAAAAATAACAGAGTATTTTGACAACTTCAAACAAGTAGGGTAGATGAACCATTTATTTTTCAAGCTTGACTTTTTACAATTTGAACTTTGTTTGCGTAGATATGAATTCTGAAAGAAGTATGAGGGTCTTGTATGACTTTGTACTTCTCCCATAGTTCATGTCTGTCAAACTTACCTGCCATGGACTCTTTCATAAGTTCCATGAAATCGTCTTCGGACAATCCGGGGAAAAGTATAATGTCAGTAAGTATTCTTTTAACATCCTTACTTAAACTCTTTGCTGTCTGTACACAAATGACAACTGAGATGTTAAAGTGTCTGAGCTTCTTAAGAATTCGACACATATCTTGTTCTCTATTCTTAAGCAAAGGATGAGAAGCAAAGTCATCTAAGATAAGAAGACATCTATGAGGGTAAGTCTTCCAATCGTAAGATTGCAATTTCTTCGAAATGTATTCTATTTCTTTCTGTTTGTTTCTGAAGTGTTTCTTCTCTAATATTCTCTGCATTTCCTCATTTGGGTCTTTAAACTTAGAATTTATATACTCATTTATAGCATTATACTTCAAAACTCTTCTTTGGTACTTCTTTATCCAATCTAACAACTCAGTATCCTTTATACATACTAACTTAGACTTCTTTATAATATCTTTGAACGAATTGACGGTTTGGTCAAATTGACCAGAAGTCGAACAAATAACAACTAACTCATAGAATGGGTTCTTCTCATCTAGTTCTTGTTGTTGTGCAGCCATTTTAAGATAAGTGAAAGTCTTACCCGACCCAGGTGGTGCAATTAGACCTGTTATACCATTCTGAGCAAATAAGAACTTGTCATGTATAGGCTTTATCTGAGCATTTTCTAACTTCACCTTGTTCTTGTTTAAAACATTCTCAAATTTCTTGTCAATGTCAGCAAACTTTTTTTCTAACATATTTTTAGAAAAATTAAAATTTTTATCTTTTAGAAAATGTCTAGCGATTTCGCTATCTATATTCGAGACAAGCTTTTTGACAGCAAAACATCTGCCGACCATAAAATCTTACATAGTGTAAACAAGAAAGGTGAATTTGTTCTAAAGTTCTGTTTCTGGGAATATGACAAGAACCATAAAACATTACAAAGAGCAGTCTTAAAATTTGTCAATGACAGACTTGTTGACAGAGATGACGCCGATTGGAAAGATGAAGTCCAACAAAAGTTCTTAGAATGCAAAGAAGACACATGCGCTGTTCTTGAAGATGAAATAGAAAACAGAATAGATGAGCTATTAAAGGACAAAGAACTTTTACATAAATATAGTTGCGCCAAATTTGACATAACTCCACCAGAAAAGAAGAAGAGAGAAAAGAAAGAAAAGAAAGTAGTAGAAGAGAAGAAAGAACCTGAACCAGTTCCAGAGAAAAAGAAATTTGACATGTAAAAATAAAATTTTATTTTTAGAACATTTCTGGGTCAATGTCAATGTTCTCTTCCTCTTTAGGAGTAAACACTGGCTTAGACTCTAAAATCTTTTTACCCAATTTACCTTGAACTTCTACAACTTTAGACTCATAATATTCATAGTCGTCTGTCTTCTTTGGTTCATAAGGTATAACAAGTTTGTATGCTTTGCCTTCTTTAAGGTTTGAGAACCTTCTGTCAAAACTTTCTTTGACTGTTAACAAACCTTCTATGTCTAATTCTTCAAATTTCGCACCATTTTTAGTCACAATAGCAAACTTAACTGGTTCGATGTTCCAAACTTTGCTGAATGAAGACTTTTCAAAATGGTAGAAGTAAACATTCAAATATGTGAATGGGTCTAGTTCTTCTTTAAGTCCTGACATGTACTTATTTACTGAGATGAATTTTGCCATCTTTTCTATCGGATAAAAATTTTTTTTTTAAAATTTACTCAGAAAAAATTTTCTTTGTATATACACCATTCTGTACGTCTCAAAGACTTTTGACATTTGCCAAGAATGTACGTTTAGAAGCTGCCATATAACCATATTCTTGACAATATTGTTTATATTCATCATATAAAGATTTTTCATCTAAACACTCAAAGTCGCTTTCTTCTATGAACAGTTCATAAACACTCTTGTTTGCTTCTAACAATGTTTGTCTCTCTTCGGTATGTGGAATTTGTCTTGGATTGAACTTAGAAATATCTAATGTCATGAAATATGAGAACAAATGGTTGTAAAAGTCAGATGTCAAAGTTTCTGCTAAGTCGTCAAAATATTCTGTATCTTGCATATGAGAATCTGACGTTCTGACAACTACATATCTTCTGTCAGAACTTTCTAACTTCATCGGAACAGCATTGTTTGAAACCATAATGAAGTTTGCAACATTTTCACAAACTCTTTGGTCTTTATACTTTCTTTCAACAACTCCAACTTTGTCTGTTATAAGACTCTTCAAAGCATCTGAGTTCAAAACTTTGTTGTATTATACTTTGAAGTTCATTGCAAAATATAAGTTTATATTCTCTATTGAGGAGTTAACTTGCCACAGATGTTTTCTAAGTTTGTCATATTCGGATGTTCGAATAACCTTCTAACAGTTTGCACAAATATCTGTAAAATGTGTTCTTACCAGTTCCTTGTTTTCCAATTATAATGAGCAGTTTCATTTTTAGCACTTGGATGTTGTAAGATGTTTGCAAACCACATAAGATATACTCATAAACTTTTCGTTTCCATTGCATATAATTTCTTTGACATGGTCTAACCAAGCTTCTATAATTTTCTTTCCATTCTACTTGTTCATATTTATATCCAGTGAAGATAGAATAGAAGTTGGAGAAGGTGTATAAACTTTATACCTCGAACTGAAAAATCTTCTAATTGACAATAAGATATCCCAAGCATCTAACATCTTCATTCCAACTTGTACAACTTTTATTTTCTTAAGTTTCTGTCTACATTCTTGTTCAGACACTATTGTTGCTCTTGGTTTGTTAAAGACAACATCCCATTCTTTCATGACATAACATTCTGGGGCAGAGTCAACATAAATGACTAAACGTTTCAAATTCTCGACTGCTTTGTTATAGTCTCTAAATGACACATATTTCTGAATGCTTGGAAGTCATAAAAATCTGAAACATCTATTTGTACATTTTTATATAAAATAAAAAAAATATTATTTTTTTATTCTTGACTTTGTTGTTCTATTTGTTGCATTTGTTGTTCTTGAGCTATTTGTTGTTGAAGTTGTTCTTGTAATACAATACTTTCACCAGTTGCATCTTCCAATTCGAAACTTTCTGCCGTCATTGACAAATACATAGGACATAAAAGTTTTACAGGAACAAAGTTTGCGTCAACTAATGTCAACGTTATACTTGCCAAAGTGTTTGAGTTCACTAAGGTTGAAATTCTGCATTCGAATGAACAATAGGCAAACCAGCAGAGAAAGTATTGTTTATACGCATAAGTATCTTTTGGTCATAATAGTTTCTGTCGACATTCGAATAACACTTTGAACCTAAGTTTGAAACAATATATAAGATTGGTGTGCTTAATGTCAATGGAATAGACATTCCTTGTATGACACCTTTTCCTGTTATAGGAAACTGTTGGTAGTAAAAACCAGAATAAGTTTTGTATTATAGCTCATATCGTTTATAGTAAACTCAGTCGGACATCCAAACATAATGAAACCTGCTCTAGTTGCAGCACATGTTACACCCGTCTTAAAGTATTAAATAAGTCAACAAAACCTGTTGGTGGTATATCTGAGTAAGTATCTTCAAAGGAGTATTTTTTACCATTCACAACAATAAAGTCTTCTGGTGTCAAAAGAGCAAAACAGGCTTTAGTCGTCATTGTGTTTAAGGTTAGTTTACAATATCGTCCTTGAGGACTTTGTAAGTTTGTTGTTATAGAATTATATGACTCAGGGTTTTTAGTCGTAATAGTATAAACCATTATGTCTTCTGCCATTTACTTAGCAAATAAATTTTAATGAAATGTTGTGGTCGTCAAATATTTTTATAACGTCTGGGAAACTATATTTTAAGTTCAACGTTTCACCTCCTTTCATAACGTATATCTTGTCAATGACATTATATGAAACACCACAGCAACTAATGTCGGGTTCTATTTCTTTGATGTTTATATCGTCTGCCTCTGTCAAAAGTTTCAATAGTTCTTTCAAAACTTCATGAGGTGCAATGACATATGAGTTCACTTTTACAGGGTTGTGTTCGACCAAGTTTAACATTATACTAAAGCTTGACAAATCTTCTCCTGAGTTTGAAGTTTGTCTTTCAGTTGTTGGTAGTCGTTTCGAATATCTGCAACAGAACTTAAGTCTCTGCTAACTTCAGGATATGTTGGTTGTTCTTTTACAGGAACAATTGTTATACCATCTTCGTCTTCGTATGGTTTCCCCACTTCAACATCTCTGTCTTTGACATTGACAACAACACTTTGACTGTTTGTTTGAGTTGGTGAATTTAACTTCACATCTGCCACCGCCATTAAACCTTTTGAAACACTTACGCTTCTATTTTTCGGAAATGACATTTTACTTAGAATAAAAAGATGGACGTATTCGAGTATCTCTTCGAATTGAAGCAGAACAAAGTTTACACACACAAACAATACAAATACATTGACAGAATAGTTCTTTATACAAACAATGGAAATGTTATAGAATAGCAGTCTTTGCTGAACCAAAATATTTTCATAAAGCAAAGAAAGTTGGTATAACTGAAATGGTGAAAGTTCTTGAAGCAGACAAAAATATAACTTAAAACAGATATTTCTAAAGGAAAGTTTATAATACAATATTATGTCAAAACTGGCGTACTGTCAATATTTGACGGAGAGAAGTCAGTTCAAGAACAACTTACTGACCTGCTGCCAAAATCTGCTCGATGGAAGCTGTCGTTATGCCAATCTGAGGAGCCCCAGCAGGTTTCATCGAACGAATCTTCAAAAGAGCATCTTCCGTGAAAAGTGCTATTGGTTTTGTAAACTTCTTTGCTCTCAATTCATCTGGACCGTCTCTGTCACCAGTATATTGTATTTGACTGTACCAAC